TACAAAACATAATACATAATAATTAGTCCTAAAGTTAGTACTTTCGATTTTCTATCCCTTTATGACATGTAACACAATAATAATGGGAAATGCAGGTAGAACAAATATAACTTGAATGGTGTGTCGTTTATTTCGGACTGTCGTTTGTTTGTTTCGTCAAAAGATTCACGCAATAGTAACAAGAGGCGGTGCAGTCCAAAAATTAGGTCGCGATTTTACCAGCATGTCGGATATATCCGGCGTTCGTCCCCAGAGGACGATCATGTGGATGTCGGATATATCCGGCGTTCGGCTCCGCGAGTGTTCATATGGATGACGGATATATCCGTCGTTCGGAGCGAAAGGGTTAATGTCTACTAGCAAGCCGAAATTCTTGAAAAAGTCAGCACCGATTATGGGTTTCGAAATGTCCGCGATCACGAATTTCCATGTTAGGACGCGACGCAACCCGAAGTTTAGATGCAGGACGATGTCACCATACGTCGAGATGGTTGACTCGTTTGCTGCGTATAGGGTATAATTGCTTTTTGTCGGTCGTCCTTAAATTAGGGATCGCGGGTAGACGCAAATGTCGGCGCCGGCATCGATAAGGTACTGTACCTTTGTGTCCCTATCGGTCATGAAGAGGCGGCTTGTTTTCGGATCGACGCTCCTCGCCTCGTCTAGTGTCGATCGGTCTCGTTTCCCTGCTGGCTGACGTATGTGCAGGGTGTCGTGCATTGCGTTGAGCGGTCTCCGAATTTTCGGTGGTACCAACAGATGCCTGGCTGGGATGGGCTTCGCGTTCTGCTCCGTCTTCGCCATCCACCTCGTGCTGGTTCGCGGTTCTGGCTTCGTCGGTGCTCTATGTTGTCGGCGTAGCTCTGCTACGTGTTGTGATAGGCGAGCCATTTGCTCGCATAGGGCGTCGAATCTGCTACCGGGTGATGCCACGGCCGAGCATTGTCCCGACGGGTTGAGCTCCTTGACCTTGTCTGCCAGTTCCGCCATTTTGTCCAGCGGCGATTCCATTTGTGTTGCGAGGATGGAACGCGTCGATGTCGGGAGTTTGTTTAAACTTAGGACGGATGTTTGTCTCACTCTCTCTAAGCTTGTCCCTCGTTGCATCACGTCGGGGTCACCAATTGTAACGTGTTGAGGACTCATCAGATGGATGACGGAGATCCTCTGAATATTGCACTTGGTGCCGACTAACTCGAAGGACCACCCACTGTAGTGGGACTAAATGAATGTAGTAGTAGCCAGTACTCTATTTGTAACGCGCAACCTAACCGTTACGCGTATCTCTCTATGTCTTCTGTTCTTTTCTGTCTGAAAGTCTAAGGTGTTCTCTTCTGAAGCTCTAAAAATGTTCTGTCTCTTCTGATGTTCTGTGCTTTCTGTGCTTTGGGCCTTACCCTACTCCCCTTCGTGGAGTCGGAAAAACCCCGGCCATCCCTTCCAATGTGCCCGAAGCACGTTGTCTCTGGTAGGGATGACTGCGTGGGCCGCTTGCGCTTGCGGGTGGAGGGGTGTTTGGAAAGGCCGGGAAAGTCCAGCTGGCCAGGATTGCCGATGCCGATATCTAGCGGCCGATTCTCTGGTCCCTTAGCCTTGGGGCTTTATGGTAAGGGTTTCCAGAACCTAAATGATGGCATGACC